TAAGGGCAAACACTGAACAGATGTGACATTAAAATATCTGAGAAGTTTTTAGAAAGAGCTTGTTGCAAACATGTGGCAGATGTTCACTGAACAGGTTTAGATGTACTTGCTATTGTAAACAGGATGCAAGTTTCCTTGGAGTAGCTACAATGTCTGCATAATTGGTGCTTAATGTTTCACTGTAGCAAAAAATCATATAAGAAGCCACATGCTTCCTGTTATTTAAGGAGCTAGTAACCTACTAAAAATCCTTAACTTTATACACTGGAATATGTGAAAGCAGGTCTGAAAAGTGGACTTGTTAGCATCTTAAGTCCCTTTCCCTACTTTTTACATAACAGCTAAATATTTTAAGAAATATGGATTGCAATTTGAAAAAAAAGTTACTCTGTAACGACTAACAAAAGTAATCCATTCAAAATTACAAAGTCATGGAACATTTCAGCTTTGATGGTCTCCATTAGAGAAACCAGAGAGAAGACCAAAGAAAAACTCATTCATAAAATCTTTGATATTTTAAACAATATATTGTTTGCATAACCTTACACATTGATGAATTCAATGTATCTTATTTGTCTATATATTTAAAGTTGAAATTTATGAATTGTTTAAAAGTCTTTATATATAGTCCATACAAATACTTTGATTTCCCTCCAGCAGGCTCAATAGCAAGTTTCCCTATGTAGGCACTAACATTTGGCTTATAAGTTAGTTAGCAGCTACTCATCTGTACCAGTAGCTAACATTACAATAAATAAAGAGTTGTGCAATTGAAATGGAAGTGGAAGCAAGCTCTATCTATATTTGTACAGCATCTAGCATAAACAGGGCACTGTTCCATGACTAGAGCATCTTCAGGACTATGGTAACCCACCGTACACTGGAAAAGAGCACATGGAGACTGAATATTCTCCAGGCTAGACCTTCAATTTTAGGATTTATTTCCCTTATCACTATGGCAAAGCCTGAGTTAATGTCTTAGGTGTAGTTAAAAATTAAGCTTTTCTTTTCATTGAGATTTTTAAACCTGAATAAGGGGATGGATGAATCAAGAGTGGGGGGATTGGATAAGTTCACTTGAGAATTGTCAGCATGTTAATTTTTTATTTTATATATTCATATCCAGCAGTTTCAGAATGCCCTTATAAAAAGAACTTAAATGGACCTGAACCTCTTCACATTTAAGTGGCATGGCTATCAATTAGTCATTTTTTTCTGCTCACTTTATAGAAGCCTAACAGAAACCTCTTACCACAAACTCTCCAGAACACATTATTTAGAGATCTGTCACCAACTCCCCTTGTGATGAGATTCAGTCAGATCTCAGCAGCTAGGCCTAGGACAAGATTGAACAGTACATCCGTAGAAGTCTTTCTACTTTGAAGTAATGGTGATAGATGTTACTTTGTACTACTCTAGGGTCCATATTCAGATTAGACACTAAACCAAAGTCTTAACCACCCACATAGATCCTATACATTTTTATTTTTTTAACCCACAAAAAAGTTTTATCTGGACAGGAATCAGTATTTATATTTACATTCTGTCCATTTAGCCTCCCACTGACGTTTCTATTAGGTAGCCTTCATTGACAGTCTTTAGTTTGTTGTGTAATCATGCCATGCATTAATAGCTACTGCATTTTAGTATCTGGGGTAGGGAGCAAATGGAGTGCTTTAAGGTTCATTAGGATGAAAGGTACCATTTTTAATAAAGCTCAGATCCATGACACTAGTATCAGTGGATCAGAAAAGACAAATGAGCATGCATGCTAAACTGGTGACAACAGTGACAGTAACAAAGGAATTTCCCTTGCTTTTATAACAGAGCTAGTTATACCTAAAAGTGAGATTTGGCACTTTGCACACAGCAGAGATTGATGTGGGTTTTGTTGTTGTTGTTTTAAAAGGAGTAACCCTCTTCCTTTTTAGAATACAGTTTTAGTCACTTGACTGGTAAGAGACAACACTATCTATTCCAGGGGTCGGCAACCTTTCAGAAGTGGTGTGCCGAGTCTTCATTTATTCACTCTAATTTAAGGTTTCGCATGCCAGTAATACATTTGAACATTTTTAGAAGGTCTCTTTCTATAAATATAATATATAACTAAACTATTGTTGTATGTAAAGTAAATAAGGTTTTTAAAATGTTTAAGAAGGTTCATTTAAAATTAAATTAAAATGCAGAGCACCCCGGACCGGTGACCAGGACCCGGTCAGTGTGAGTGCCACTGAAAATCAACTCGTGTGCCACCTTTGGCATGCATGCCATAGGTTGCCTATCCCTGATCTATTCAGTCATTTTCTCCCCTTCTGCACCAGAAATCAACATAGCTCTTCTAGTTGCTGTCTTTGAGGACAAGGATCAGTAGTCCCCGCCCAGCACTATAGTTTAAGGAAATGGAATGGCTAGCTAGCTGAATCCAGACACTGTGGCTTCTACATGAAGTGTTTTTGTTTTGTTTTTTCCCTTCAACCAACAGGATTGTGGAATAGAACTTGTTAAACATTGCTCAACCTATTAGAACAAGTTTAAAAATAGAGCCTAAAAACAACTGTAGGCTATGCCTTTATATGCATGTGAATTTGTTCCAGCATGTTACCCTGGAATGGTAACCATAGAGAAGTAGTTTTAAAGTTGAACTACAAATGCAAACAGTACATATTAGGCCTTGGCTACACTTGCAGATGTACAGCGCTGTGAGTTAAACCAGACTTCATGCAGCTGAGTAGGGAAAGCGCTGCAGTCTGTCCACACTGACAGCTGCCCAGCGCACTGTCATGGCCACATTTGCAGCAATTGCAGCGCTATTGGGAGCGGTGCATTATGGGCAGCTATCCCACAGAGCACCTTTTCCCATTCTGGCGCTGTGGGTTGTGGGAAGGGGGCGTGGGTGCAGGGGATTCTGGGTCCTGTCCCAATGCCCCGTGATGCATTGCTTCGCATCCCAGAAATCCCTTTGTTTCCGTCCACCTTTGGTGCCATCTTTCAACGGTTTCTGTGCAGCGCGATCTGTCTGTGGGAAATGGAGTCCGAACTGCTGAGGCGTATGCTGACGAGTCTCACCAGCACGTCACGTTTGGCAGTCGAACTATTCCTTTAGATCCAAAGTGACAATCAGAGTGAGGGTGAGGAGTCCAACGATGCTATCGAGCCGCGTAACGCGTATGACACGAAATTGCTTGTGGCATTCACGGACATGCTCAGCACCGTGGAATGCCGCTTTTGGGCTCAGGAAACAAGCACCGAGTTGTGGGATCACAGTGTCATGGAAGTCTGGGATGACGAGCAGTGGCTGCAGAACTTTCGGATGAGAAAAGCCACTTTCATGGGACTCTGTGAGAAGCTCGCCCCCACCCTGAGGCGCAAGGGCACGAGATTGAGAGCTACCCTGCCAGTAGAGAAGTGGGTGGCTATTGCAATCTGGAAGCTAGCAACTCCAGACAGCTACCGGTTGGTCGCAAACCAGTTTGGAGTGGGAAAGTCGACCGTTGGAATCGTGTTGATGCAAGTTTGCAAGGCCATTAATCACATCCTACTCAGAAGAACCGTGACTCTCGGTAACGTGCAGGAAATAGTAGATGGCTTTGCACAAATGGGGTTCCCTAACTGTGGAGGGGCGATAGATGGGACACACATTCCTATTCTGGCACCACCCCACCTACGATCCGAGTACATTAATCGGAAGGGGTATTTCTCTATGGTTCTCCAGGCGCGTGTGGATCACCGTGGGTGTTTCATTGACATTAACACAGGCTGGCCCGGAAAGGTGCATGATGCATGCATCTTTCGGAACACTTGGCTGTTCAGGAAGATGCAGGCCGGGACGTTTTTCCCAGAGTGGAAGATCATGGTAGGGGAAGTTGAAATGCCCATTGTGATCCTTGGAGATCCCGCTTACCCATTAATGCCGTGGCTCATGAACCCTACACAGGGAGCCTTGACAGCAGCAAGGAATGGTTCAACTACAGGCTGAGCTGGTGCCGAATGACTGTGGAGTGTGCCTTTGGCCGTTTAAAGGGCCGCTGGCGATCTCTGTATGGGAAGCTGGACTTGGCCGAAAACAGCATCCCTGCAGTTATATCCGTGTGCTGTGCCCTCCATAAAATTTGTGAAGGGAAGGGTGAAAGCTTCACTCAGGCATGGACCTCCGAGGTTCAACACCTGGAGGCTGAATCTGCACAGCCAGAGAGCAGGACTATTACAGGGTCCCAGCGCGGGGCTGCAAGGATTAGGGATGCCTTGAGGGAGCAATTTGAGGTGATATCTGGTGCCCTGCATGAGAGTGAAGTGCAGTACTTCCAATCTTTAGGAATCAGTGTCTGCTTAGCAGACAAGCAAACTTGCAGTGCCTGTTTACTTCCTGGGATAAGGAGTCTTTTACTTTATGCAATAATAAAGAATGTTTTCAAAGCCAAAGAATCCATTTATTGAAAAGAAAAAAAAATTATTTATTGAAAAGAAACAAGGGGATGGAGTGGGGAACAGTACCATCAAAGATTCGCGTACATCCTGTCTGGTGTGCTGTGCAGTGAGTGCTGCACTTCAGGACAGCTATACTGCATGGTGATGGGGGTTGAGTGCAGAGGATAAGGGTCGTGGTTTTCAGGGCTGGGTGGTGAAGATACTGGTGTTGGAGGCAGCGGGTGGCATGTAGAACACGGAAGTTGGGGAAAGTGTGTTGGAGGTGACAGTGGGGCACAACGGAAAGAGTTTTGGGACAAGGGCTGTAGGGGGGGGGTGGCGTTTGCGGTACTACTCCTCTTTCTGCATGGCTACCAGCTCCTGGATAGCATCTGCTTGACGCTCCAGGATGCTTATGAGCTTATCAGTGCTTTGCTGCCAGTGCGTGGTGCTTTGCCGCCGGTGCACTGCGTTTTCCTGGCAGATCCTGCTTTCTCTCTCCCTCCAGTGATGTGCTTTCTCATTCTCTTTAATAGATTGCCGCATAACTTCTTACAGCATGTCTTCTTTGCTTTTTTGCGGTCTCTTCCTGAGTCTTTGCAGTCTCTGAGCAGGCGATAAGAGGGACGGCTGAGGTCTCAAGGTTGATGCAACTGTATAGGCAAAATGCAACATTTAACAGAGGCAGCATTGTTTATACCAGACAGAGTAATGATTCCCCCCACACTTAAGGAGTGGAAAACACACAGCATCTACACAATAGCATAATTTTCCTGTCTGAAACAGAGCACACATATCCCACGGGAGCCTCAAAATGGTGAGTAAGGGGGACTGATTGTTTCTGGGCTGCACTGTCCTCTGGGTTTCTGTGCCTTGGGGAGAGCCAACAGCTTCAGGGGGCACGTACACTGAACACTGTCCCAACATTTTCCACAGGCATTCGTCCTGGATGATATCTCGCTGCTGAGGGTGACCTGGGAAGCAAGGGAGGGTCTTCTACTGCAATGTAGCTTCCGCCCTGGCCCATATGCAGCTTGCCTGTGTGCAGCAATGGTCCCCCCGCCCCTCGCGGCACAGTGGCGCAGACACGTTAGCCTGGCTGGGACAAGGACCACAGTGGCTCTCCTGATAAACCTGCGCAAGCGCATTGCACACGTTCTGGATGAGACATTCGAAGAGATTACCGAGGCCGATGTGATAAACCACATGAATGCACTAATCCACATCTAGGCATGCATGCCTAACCCTCCTCTCCCAAAGAGCCCGCATCGAAAAAATTCCTTCCTGAAAAAAAAAAAACGCTTCCTGGGAACCTGCTCTTCTGTTTGTCCTCCACCAAGTACCGGCCACTGCGACTGGCTACCTTCCTCCTGGCTCGAGAAGAGCTCCTGGCTGCAGGGCTCCAGGGATGTCTCCATCCGGCCCACCACCATCACTCCCATTTTCCTCCTCCTCCGCCCCCCACACCGGCTCTGAAGTGTCCATGGTGGTGCTCGGAGTGGAGGTGGGGTTAACCCCAAGTATCGCATCCAGCTCTTTGTAGAATCGGCAGGTCACGGGGGGAGCACCCGAGCAGCCATTTGTGTTGCGGGCTTTGCGGTAGACACTCCACAGCTCCTTCACTTTAATCCTGCACTGCAGGGCATCCCGGTCATGGCCCCTTTCCATCATGTCCTTTGATACGTTCCCGAAGGTATCGTAATTCCTATGGCTGGAGCGCAGCTGGGACTGTACAGCTTCCTCCCCCCAAACACTGATGAGGTCCAGCAACTCGCCATTGCTCCATACTGGGGCTCGCTTGGCGCGTGGAGGCATGGTCACCTGGAAAGATTCGCTGATAGCACGCCACGCCGGGCTGAGCAAACAGGAAGGGGATTTTTAAAATTCCTGGGGAATGTAAAGGGTCGGTCACATGGTTGGTTACCTGAGGCCAGGGCAGTAGAGTTTGAACTGATGACCAGAGTGGCTAGAACAGGCATTGTGGGATACTGCCGAATAATTCTGGAGGCCATTCACAGTGCATTGGGCGGCCACACTGGCGCCGCAGCGCTGCAATGGCAGCGCAATACTCACTATTCCTCTCGGAGAGGTGGAGTACATGCAACACTGCAACCACAGAGATACAGCACTGCAAATGCCTTGCCAGTGTGGATGGGGAGTGAGTTACAGTGCTGCGGGAGCCTTTACAGTGCTGTAACTCACAAGTGTAGCCAAGGCCTTAGTGAAATAAACAAAATGATCTTTTGGAAGTGAAAAAACTTTCATCAAAATTATTGCTGATTTGAGATTTAATGAGAAGATTTTTAAGTGGCAAATACCACTGTTTTAATTAGGTTTAAGTTACCACTCTAAGGGTACGTCTACACTACGAAATTAGTTCGAATTTATAGAAGCCGGTTTTATTGAAATCGGTTGTATACAGCCGATTGTGTGTGTCCACACAATAAAATGCTCTAGGTGCTCTAGTCGGTGGACCGCGTCCACAGTACAAGGCTAGCGTCGACTTCCAGAGCATTGCACTATGGGTAGCTATCCCACAG